AGAGAGTCACACTCGAAGAATTGTTCCCTGTTGAGGACAGCAAACATCTGGAAGGGATTAAATGGGGGTAGGAGGGGGTGGGGGTAGTGTGAGCTGAGAACACACTGTGACTATTGGAAGGAGATAATTCATTTCTGGGGTGGGTAAGTGATCCCAAAAGAGGGAGGCTGCTCTGGGCTTCTACAGCATGACTGGATGCCCAAAGAGTATTTACTCCTTCAAATAATTTTGTTCTGATTAGACTGAGTACCTAAAATACCCATATCATTCATTTGAGCTGAGTCATTAAATTAAAAAAAAAAAAGCCCAGAAATCAAATTGTAAAGATAGGTAATGCATTGCCTTGAGAAACTCACTTCTAAAATGCAAATATACTAACATAAAATAACAAGCTACCATTTTGTATCTGTGACATTAACCATATGAAAATTGTAATACTCAGTGCATTGAGGTTTTATTGAAATTGGCACATTAAAAAATCTATAATGTACATGTATGCGTGTGTGCTAAGTCGCTTCAGTCATGTCCGACTCTTTGTGACCCCATGGACTGTAGCCTACCAGGCTCCTCTGTCTATAGGATTTTCCAGGCAAGAATACTGGAGTGGGTTGCCATTTTCTCCTCCAGGCAATCTTCCCAACCCAGGGATTGAACCTGAGTCTCTTATGTCTCCTGTATTAGCAGCTGAGTTCTTTACCACGCAGAGAGGGCAATGGCACCCCACTCCAGTACTCTTGCCTGGAAAATCCCATGGATGGGGGAGCCTGGTAGGCTGCAGTCCATGGGGTTGCGAAGAGTCAGACATGACTGAGCGACTTCACTTTCACTTTTCACTTTTATGCATTGGAGAAGGAAATGGCAACCCACTCCAGTGTTCTTGCCTGGAGAATCCCAGGGATGGGGTCGCACAGAGTCGGACACGACTGAAGTGACTTAGCAGTCTTTACCACTAGCGCCACCTGGAAAGCCTATAATGTAATTACAAATAGGTATAACTTCTGGGAAGTGATTTGGCTAGAATTTTTTTTTTTCTTTTTGTGATTTCATTGGAATTTTTAAGAGTTATAAAAATGTCTATAACTTTGGCTCTACTAATCCAACTTCTAGGAATTTATTGGTAGGAAAAAATTCAAGAGAAGGAGGGACCTTTCTGCATTTGTTTTCCATGATTGAGAGTGGGTAAATTACCAGGCATCTCCCTGATGGGCTCTTAGGCAGTCATCAGAAGGATAATTATAAAGGACAGATGGGGAAAGTGTGAAATAATCATTCGCAAATTTGAAAGCACAGAAATTGAATTGTAAAGACTGGGTATGCATTTGGATGGAACTAGAAGAAAATGGAAAGGAAACCAGTGTTCTTTGTTGGAGGTTGTGAGATGGTGGAAGAATTTTTTCTTTATTTCAATTTATGTTAAAATTGGTTGTGCAATGAAAAATAATCAAAAACTCAGATGGACTCTCTCGGAAGGGGTGGCTGATTGTCAACCTTCACCGTACGGACAAGTTACAGTCCAGTTTTCTGAGAGAGAAGGGGTCTCAGATCTGAAAGCTGGGGGCTGATGGGCAAGGCGGGGGTCCTCCCAGGGAACAGGGACCACCCGCAGAGGGAGGGCGGGGCTGGTGGGAGCTGGCAGAGAGTGGCTTTAAGGGAAACTGCCTCCTTCAGTGTTGCCTCTGACAGGCCTGAGCTAATGAGCATTAAAATCAAATAGTTGCACTGTTCCTCTTAGTCACTCGCAATCCCAATGTTAAAACCAGAATTAACAAACCTAGTGTTTTACTACTTCTGATGAGCTGCGGTGTTTCTTTGAATCTCAGAGCATCAACAGCACAGGCTGACACTAATATATCAGGCTTTCTGGTTTCCAGCTGCCCTGTCTCAAATACCTGTCAATCAATCTGGTCGAATATCGGACAAACACAATCAGGTCCCGGCCTGCGATGACAGGCAGACAATTCCTGTGGTTACTTGGGTTGTGATTGCATCATGGATTCACTTCTCCAGAACCTTTACTTCTATTGACAACTCTTTTTAGAAAATATTTCTTTATTTGGCTGCGTAAGGTGTTATTTGCAGCAGGCAGAATCTTTCGTTGTGGCGCATGGGCTTTCTAATTGTGGCTCGGGCTTAGTTGCTCTTCAGCATGTGGGATCTCAGTTTCCTGATCAGGGGTCGAACTCATGTCCCTTGAATTGCAAGGTGGATTCTTAACCACTGGACCTTTCCAGGGAAATCCCTTGACGACTCTTTCACTAACTTTCCAGAGTAGTAGGGGGCAGTGAAGGGAAACACTGGACCAGGAGTCAGGAAGCATGCCATTAGGCAGATCATGAATATGCTCATGGCTTCAGTCTCTTTATCTGTAAAATGGGGAAACTTTTCACCGAAGACTGCCTAGACTCAAAGTCAATGATGCAAGTCTGAAAAACTCAGTTTGGGCCATAGTAGAGAATCTTCTGCCCAGAATGAAGTTGAAGACCCCTCTTCCAAACTTTTCCCAGTCTTTATACACCATGGAAAAAAACAAATTTAGATCAAGCCCCACCCTGTAAGGGGATGTTGACACCCTGTTATGTGCAGAAGAGGTTAGCCAGGAGGTATGGAGGCTCAGAAGCCAGTCAAGAGATAGCTGATGAAGGAACTGCTGACTTTAACCAGAAACAGTGTTACATAGCCAGGATGTGATCACTGTCTTTGAGATTCTGAAGAGCTGACTTGTGGGAAAAGTAAAATTCACTAGCTTTCTCAGTTTTTGCCTCAGAGGGCAAAATCAGTGGTTAGAGATTACAGGGAGGCAAATTTCAAGTCTGAACAGAATACAAAACATTCCAGCACTTAGAACGAACTGAAAGTGGAGAGAATGGGTATGAGCAGAGGTTGGGCATATGATTTTCTTGGAGATTAAAGTGCTGGGTGAACACTTTAATTTTGTTGACTATTTTCATTTTTTCTTGTTTCTGGGTGTGCCATGTGGGATGCAGGATCTTAGTTTCCAGACCAGGGATCGAACCCTGCTCCCTGCAGTGGTAGCACTGGACTGCCAGGGAAGCCTCAAGGGAGAATTTGAAGTGGGGCTCAAATGCCCCTCTAATGCTGTAGCCTCTGAATGTAATCTGAGATGACTGACATCCTCCAGGGCGGCCACCATAAATGCCATGCATTGGCAGAAGCATCAGCTCCAGCACCCACAAAACCACCTTCTTCCGTTCCAGCTTGAGGTTCAGGAAAGAGCTGGTGTATATGGATCCTCTCATCACTTGAACAAGCTGTGTACTAGATTCCCTGGCTCTCTCCTTCCCAAGACTTCCGAGGCAGAATTCCCCTTGTGCCTCCTTCGTCTCCACCTCCTACTCTGCGCCCCCCCCCCCCCACTCATTTCCATTTTTCTGGTGTGTAGATCAGAGAGGGAGACAAAGCTGTGGGCAGTGCACAGCAAACAGACCAGCATTCCTGGACATCCCAGGATGTACCAGGGTTTGCTGTGTCCCTAAGTGCTCCCTGGGCATGCAGGAGACACCGGATGCTAGATGATAAGGATTCCGAGGCACACGCCTTCCCTTCATGTGAACTGGCTGCGTATAATCAAGACAACGAAACCTCTCCAAGGGAAAAGGGTGGGAGACCACTGAACTGGTCGTTTGCCTGAGAAGGGAAATGCACACGTGCTAATTCACTCAGTTGTGTCTGACTCTTTGCGACCCCATGGACAGTAGGCTACCGGGCTCCTCTGTCCATGGGATTCTCCAGGAAAGAATACTGAGTGGGTTGCCATGCCCTCCTCCAGGGGAAAACCCAGGGATCAAACCTGAGTGTCTTATGTCTCCTGCACTGGCAGATGGGTTCTTTACCACTAGCGCCATCTGGTAAGCCCCAGATAAGAGAAGGTATGGATGTAAAAAGCATCTCCCCTGGCCTAGAGGGAATGGGACCCCGAATTGAGGAGTGAGAATTACCAGCGCTGCCCGGAGCCTGGCTGAGTCTGCTGCCGGCATGGTCCCTTCAGACAGTTCCAGAGCAGACTTAGAGGGCAGCATCTGGGTTCCAGGGCAAGCAAGCCCTCTGGATTGGAATCCTGTCTCCATGGCTTACTTGCATTGCCTGGGGCAACGATAACAGCTTTAGCCCTAAAGGGGCTTAAATAAGGGTCCTTTGCTGCTGTTTAGTTGCTCAATTGTGTCTAACTCTTTGCAACCCCATGGACTGTATAGCCTGCCAGGCTCCTCTGTCCATGGGATTTCCCAGGCAAGAATACTGGAACGAATTGCCATTTCCTTCTCCAGGGGATAAGGGTACTTACTTCCCTTCTAAAGTGGAGAGGATGACACACAATATTGGAGGGTAAGCCTCGTGGAACTGCTGGTGTCTGATCCTTTCCAAAATATAAAAAAAAGAGAGACCGGTTCCTACCGATCAACCTCATCCGTAGATAAGTCTGTGCCTGCGTGCATGCTAAGTCGATTCAGTCCTGTCCGACTCTTCGTGATCCCATGGACTGTAGCCTGCCAGGCTCCTCTGTCCATGGAATTCTCCAGGCTAGAATACTGGAGTGGGTTGCCAGGCCCTTCTCCAGGAGATCTTCCCAACTCGGGGATGGAACCTGCATCTCTCGTCTCCCGCATTGGCAGGCGGGTTCTTTACCACTAGCGCCACCTGGGAAACCCATAGATGAGTCCAGGGGTTCCCAACTCAACCGCATCTTAGAATTACCCTGGGCTCTTTTTAAAATTCCAAAGCCTGGGTCACCTCTCAGACCCATCCAACCACAACTTCTCCAGGTGGGATCCCTGGCCAGGTGATTCTCACGGGCAGACGTGTTTGGGGACCACTGGCTGAACACCGTTTAGGGGATGTGTTAAGGCCCTCAACCTTGGCCACCTCCGCTTTCCCTTCCTCTTACTGAGCGTCTCCTGCCTTCCAAGCCCCGGGGTCGGGGGTTGGGGGAGAACCTCCGCAGCCGTCTCATCTCTCCCCCTCTTCCTTCTCCTCCATCTCCGCAGTGTCCAGGCCCCGGAGCTCCCCGGACGACCTGAAGGCGCTGACTCGGAATGTGAACCGGCTGAACGAGAGCTTCCGGGACTTGCAGCTGCGGCTGCTGCAGGCCCCGCTGCAGGGAGAGCTGAGCGAGCAGGTGTGGAAGGCTCACGACGCGCTGCAGAACCAGTCGGACTCGCTGCTGGCGCTGGCAGGCGCGGTGCAGCGCCTGGAGGGGGCGCTGTGGGGGCTGCAGGCCCAGGCGGCGCAGAGCGAGCAGGCGGTGGTCCTGCTGCGGGAGCGCTCGGCCCAGCAGAGCGACGCGGCGCAGCTGGAGCTCTACCAGCTGCAGGTGGACGGCAACCGCAGCCAGCTGCTGCTGCGGCGCCACGCCGGCCTGCTGGACGGGCTGGCGCGCCGGGTGGGCGCCCTGAGCGACGAGTTGGCGGACGTGGGCGGCGCGCTGCGCGGCCTCAACCTCAGCCTGTCCTACGACGTGGCCCTGCAGGGCACGCGGCTGCGGGACCTGCGCGTGCTGGTGAGCAACGCCAGCGAGGACGCGCGCCGCCTGCGCCTGGCGCACCGGGGCTTGGAGCTGCAGCTCAAGCAGGAGCTGGCCGTGCTCAACGGTATCACCGAGGACCTACGCCTCAAGGACTGGGAGCACTCCATCGCGCTGCGCAACATCTCCCTGGCCAAAGGTACTCCCCTTTCCGCCACCCACCGGGCTCTGGGGGACTGCAAGGGCCCCTCCCGCTCAGCGTTTCTTCGGCATGATGCACGTGCCTCCTCCAGGCCTGGGAGTCCGGCTCCCTCCCCAAGCCCACACCTCCTTTATTAAGTCTCACCCTCAAAGACCCTGGAATGTTCCATCCAAATGGATTATGCGCATTTCCAGCCTGCACAGGATAAAGGTCCTCCTTGCCACCCCTCTCCTCCCCCCAGACAGCACACACTCAGTATTCACACCCCTCGCCATGAGAAGGGCCAAGGGTGGCTCCCGAGGCCCTGGGTGGGCAGAGCCTTGGATGTGCCAGCTGGAGTCTCCAAGAGTTTGGGGTTGGGGAGGAAAGCAGGGCTCAAACTGGGGATAGGGAGGTGCTCCCCCAGTGTGCTGGTGCTTCCATTGTGTCGGGTTGCATACCAGACATCTACAAGGCCTGCACTTGCCCATCTTTAAGACCAAAGAAAGAGCCTGGAGTCAGCAACAGGAACATGGATGGTTTAATGGAAAGGGGAGCTGAGAAGTCTGAAGCAAGGTTCTGGAGCGACTCCCCACTGTGTGTGGCAGACAGCTGACAGGTCCTGGCAGTTGTCTTTGCTCCTGGGGAAAGGGGAGATTGCCAGTTATAGAGGGATTTGATGTGGGGTGGGCTCATTGGTTACCGGGGAAACCAGCATAGGGGCACGGCCCCTCACCTCCCCTTTGATAAGCTGTCACTAGCTAGGGCCCAAGGCGAGTATGTAGGAAGGTCAATGATGTGAGTGGTGTGGGTGAAGCAGGCACTGGTCAGGTGGGGGATGGACAGAGAGCAAGAGAACAGCCATCTTGGGTGACCTGACCATACACAGGTGGAGCTACAAAAATTGGGAGAATTCCAAATTTGAACCTGCCCTTCCAGGCTGTTAAAAAGCCATAGTTCATCCAGGTAGAAGAACATATTTTATTTTCTTTAACAATGTGTTAGCTTCATTTTTCACTCTTAAATATGATGGCAAAAATGTGCAGGCCTCCATTCGGCCTCTTGCTCCAGGACCACAAACATCAGCATCTTTACAGCCAACCTCCCTCTCTTGCAAACCTGAGTGACCGTGCCTCTACTCCCCTCCCCCCCATTCCTTCCCACTGCTGTCCACCCTGCACATCATTGTCAGAGGCACAGTTTGTGAAATGTACTTTTCCTGCACGACCTGTTGCTCAGAACCCACCATGACTGCCCCGGAGTCTGCCAGGTTCACCAAAAGCCCTTAGGCTGACAGTGGACAGTGATAATACCACTTTGAACACCAGCTCTGTTGGGTACTAGGCCAAGTGTAACTCATAGAATGTCTTTTAAAAACAACCATGAGATTTAGGAAGCTGCTCATAGTGGCAGTCTGGGAGGTGATGGGCCAGGATTTGAGCCCCAGCTTTTCTGATTGCAGAGATGATGTGCTTTCTGTTGTATCCCTGTCCCCAGCCTGTCTTCCCCGCCTTCTCCACCTGGTCCCCTGTACCAGGGTACAGTCTGCAGGGGCTAGTGGAGCAATGTCAATGCGTAAAGTGACTTCGGTGTTGGGGGAATAGTAAGGACTATGACAGGTCTGGCCCATTTTGGCCTCAGCATAGACAAGGTCTTCCCATTTTTTTCCAGAGAAACCAGAAACGTGGACTGTTCTAGAATTTTTAATTGTTTAACTCTGTGGGCCAAATACAACGTATCTGTGGTTCCTACATTGTCCATAGACAGCCAGCTTGCACCCTCTGCCCTGTGTGAAGCATCCAGTCCAGTGGGACATGTCTTGTCCCTGCCCTGGAGACACACCCCTCCTTGCCCACTCCCTTGGCTTTCCTCCAGCCTTTCCTCCCACTGCAAAGCCCCCTTCTTCTCCTTATCCAGACCCCACTGCTCCTTCCCATCTCACTCAGACCCACCTCCTCCAGGAGCCCCCTGGCGACTCTAGTCCACTGAAGACTCCCTCCTCTGAGATTCTGTATTTATCAGAGCAGAAAGTAGTCATGATGGAGACTTCTACTTGCATAATACTTTTCAAGTCTGGTTTATAATAATAAAACATCATTTTGTTTTAAAGTGGGTCCCCATCACCAGCTGTGAGCTCGGTTGAAGGCAGGATTTACTGGAGAGCCAATAGGATTTCTGCAGAGAAGCAGCTGAGGCTCCAGGAGGAAATACCTGGCTTACTCCAGGCCCACACAATTAGAAATGATCCAACCCAGGGCTTTTGTTATCAACAGTTTTAGTAAGCTATAATTTACATGGCTTTCTTAGTGGCTCACTCAGACTGTAGAGAATCTGCCTGCAATGCAGGAGACCTGGGTTTGATCCCTAGGTTGGGAAGATCCCTTGGAGAAGGAAATGGCAACCCACTTCAGTATTCTTGCCTGGAGAATGCCATGGACAAAGGAGCCTGGCAGGTTGTAGTCCATGGGGTCACAAGGAGTCAGACACAACTGAGTGACTAACACACAATTTACATGTCCTCAGATTCACCCACTCAAGTGTGTAATTCAATGGCCAGCACAGGGTTTTCCGCCCAATGCCAGGGCTCCATCTGGTACTTCAGTCCACCCTCATCTGTCCACCCCTGTGCCCCCCAGCATGTAACCGTGTGACCCACGTGACTGAAACTTGAGGAATGTTTGTGGAACAACTGTTCCATCTTGAGCCCATGTCGTCAGAGGACTGGTTTTCTTTTCTTGGGTGACTTTGATTTCACGTTTCAGAAATCAAAGGAGAACAGGAGGCTGTGTGTCTTCTTCCAAATCCACACACCTGGGGTCTCAGCCGTTCATTTTCTTGACTTCCCCAGTCTGCATGCTAAGTTGTTTCAGTTCTGTCCAACTCTTTGCGACCCCATGGACTGTATGTAGCCTGCCAGGCTCGTATGTCCATGGGATTCTCCAGGCAAGAATACTGGAGTGGGTTACCACGTCCTCCTCCAGGGATCTTCCCGACCCAGGGATTGAACCCATGTTGGGTTATGCCTCCTGCATTGGCAGGCGGGTTCTTTACCACTAGCACCACCTGGGAAGCATCACCTCAATCTGGTCCGTGCTTAGTAACAGCAGCGACACTGAATCATAACCTACGGTGAACCTACAGTTGAAAAGACATTTTGTCAGCATTAGTTCTCTAAATGGACATTAATGACTGCTAATCCTCACATCCTGCAAAAAAGGTGTTATTGAACCCATTTTTTTTTTGGCCATGCCATGTGGCATGTGAGATCTTAGTTCCCCAAACAGGGATCGAGCCTGAGCCCCTGCAGTGGAAGCGCAGAGTCCTCACCACTAGACTGCCAGGGAAGTCCCCGAACCCATGTTATAGTTGAGAAACTAATGAATTTCCCAGTGTTGATTACAATTGGCAAGTGACAAAGTGACAAAGGTTCAAAGTGGGTCTTTCTGGCTCAAAAAGCATGTTTTGGTCACCAACTGTGGTACTTTCCAGGGTGGAAAGAGATTGGCTAGGAGCCATGAAGACAGAAGAGAGGGTGGTCCCTCAGGTCTGTCCCTATGTGTGGGAGGTAGTCTCTCCTGTTTGGGCTTTCCTGTGGCTCAGCTGGTAAAGAGTCCACCTGCACTGCAGGAGACCCAGGTTCTATCCCTGGGTCAGGAAGATAGTCTGAAGAAGGGAATGGCAATCCACTCTAGTATTCTTGCCTGGAGAATCCCAAGGACAGAGGAGCCTGGCGGGCTACAGTCCATGGGGTCCCAAAGAGTCAGACCCGACTGAGTGACTAACACTTTCAGGGGAGCACTTTCCCACCAGGCACTCCCCCTTCCTTCCTCTTCTGGTCCACAGATGATATCCCCATGGTTCTTGCTGGTGCAGCCTCCTTGGCCTTACCGAGCGTTTCACATTCTCAGTTTCTGAGTCCACTGTCCTTTTGGTTCAAGCTAAAACAGCTCCAGATCACCCATTTGCCACGGTTCTTCTGGTGGAATCCTCCAAGCGGTCTTTCTTTGGTTCTGAAACGAAGTTCCACACTTGCTTCCCTTGTACCGAAGTTTCATCTCAGTTCTGCCCAGGACTGCCTTCCAGTCTTCAAGCTTTGCATTTTTTAAAATTGGTATTTATTTATTTACTTTTGGCTGTGCTGGGTCTTTGTTGCTGCACCCGGGCTTTGTCTAGTTGAGGTGCGTGGACTTCTCATTGTGGTGACTTCTCTTGTTGCGGAGCGTGGACTTCTCATTGTGGTGACTTCTCTTGTTGCGGAGCGTGGACTCTAGAGCACAGGCTCAGTAGTTGCCGTATGAGGGCTTAGTTGCCCCGTGGCATGTGGACTCTTCCTGGACCAGGGATCAAACCCCCTGAATTGGTAGGAGGATTCTTTACCACTGAGTCACCGGAGACGTCCCAAGCTTTGCATTCTTGATGGGCTGCTGGCTTTTCAGAGATGAGTCCTCTGGCCCTCCTAGGACCACCAGTGTGCTGTGTCTCCCTGCCCCTCCTCCATCTCTCATGGTTGCTGGGGACCCAAATGAGGTGATTAAAAAGAGTTCTCTTTGGCATAGCGGAATATAATTACCACATAACTTCAACAAGACAAAACTCTACCCTGGCTTTTGGATAAGGGATTTTTAGCAGAGAAGCTTTGCTGAATTTGTATATTGTGGTCTGAGTGGCTTTTCTTTACTAGTTTTGTTCAGTTCCACTCAGTCTTTAAGCATGCACACACCGCACACCCTCCCATTCTGCCTTTTCCTGGCTCAGAATCCACAAATGCTCCACTGTGTATATTTATATATATATGACCTTGTTTATGTTATTCTTGAGCGTGACCCCAAACGGTTGCATTCTCTCACTTTGTTATACAGTTTTCTATGGGTTTTGCCTCTGGCTTGTCTTTTGTGTACGTTCACAGTGGTGCTTTCTGTTTCCTGCTTTGCGTTCTCAGCACTGATCAGGTCTGTTGAAATCTCTCTGCGGCGCTGAAAGAAGCAGAGAACCTAGATGATCAGGCAGAGGAGGCGTTC